GGAACAGAGAGAGAGAAACATCGATGTGAAAGGAACACATCGAGTGGCTGCCACCCGCACAACCGACCAGGGCCGGGGACAAACTGCAACCGAGGTACGTGCCTTTTGCGGTACCCGAACCCGGGTCTCTCAGGACCGCAGGCCAACGCTCTAACCGCTGAGCCAAACCGGCCAGGGCTACAATGACTTTCTTGTGATATTCCTCCAAATGACCAGATCAAATAAGATGCTCGCTTCTAGTTTATAGTCTCTCGGGATGCCATTCACCTTGTGTACTTCTGTGCTTCCAGGAACTATAGCACCTCTCTGCTGTGTCACATTTGCCTTAACTACAAATTATGCTCAGTATTTGCCCCCCGCCCAATAATTTTTAAATTTCTTGAGAGTGGACATCCCGTTCCTCATCCCTGCATTCACATTAATTTAGATTCCAACAAATAGTAATTAAACCCAATGAACTGCCAGGTGCTGGGTGGGGTAAAAATGGGTGAGGTGTACCCCCTGCCCGGAACAGCAGGGGAGGCAGACTCACCACCAACAACCCTGACGCAGAAGTTCTACATATAACAGAGGTGCATGATGCCTTCCATGAGAACAAAAGGGGAGGCAATGGATTCTTCTAGGGGCAAAGGGAAATAAGAGAAACCAGAGTATTGTCATAGGAAGCTATAGAGAGGCAAATTGTTGAGTTACTGCTTGAAACATTAACAGAAATTCACCTGGTGGGCAAGCAATGGGAATGAGACAGATGGGCTAGATTCACCAGTAGACAATTTAAGCTTTTTCCTTAATCTGCAGCAATAGGTCCACTTAGGAAATCATGAAGATCTCTCTAATAATCAAGGCAGGGTTTTTCAACCTCTGCACCGCTGACATTTTGTGCCAGATTAATTCTTTGTTTTGGGGGGCTATCTTGTGCATTATAGGATGTGAACAACACCCCTGGTTTCCACTCAGTAGATGCCCGTAGCAATCGTCCCCACCTTCCAACTATGACAACTGAATGTTTCTAGACATTGCCGAGTACTGTCCCTTGAGGGGGTGGGAAGGGGGAAAAAAAAATCACTCCTGGTTGAGAATCACTGTTTAAGCATAATTCTAGTTTTAAGGGCTCCTCCCTTACTACATTATCTTTCCTTTAAGTCCTGAAAATAATTTTTTCTTTAGTTCAAAACCCAACGGACCCTAAATTTATTTTAGATAAGAGATAACGTATGTCACAAACATTACGTTACTGATGCCCATGATAAAAGCGGGTATCTCCTTTGATTAAACTTAATAAGCAAAAAATAAAATGTTCATTATACTACAGGAGTATATAAATAGCATGACAAGTTTTTGTTCAGAACATTAGTGCTTACAAAGTATTTTCACATTGACGTCACTGAATGTTTATGACACCCTGTGAAGTATTCTTTTTTTTTCTTTAATTTTTTGATTTTTTAAATCTTTATTGTTGAATGTATTACAGATGTTCCTCATTTTTCCCTATTGACTCCCTCCTCCCCACTCCCACCTCCCTCCCGCCTTTTCCCACACTATTGTCTGTGTCCATTGGTTATGCATATAAGCTGTTTGGTTTATTTCTTCCCACCCTCCAACCCCTTTCCCTTTGAGGTTTGTCAGTCTAGCAATGAATTTGTACTTCTTAATCCCCTCACCTTTTTCACCCATTCCCCAACCCCCCTGCCATCTGGCAACCAACAAAATGTTCTCTGTATCTATGAGAATGTTTCAGTTCTGCCTGTTCATTTTGTTTGTAGATTCCATTGTCGATAGATATGTATTCATTGCCATTATGTTTGTTCATATATTTTATCTTTTTCTTCAAAAAGACTCTTCATCATTTCATATAATAACGGTTTGGTGGTGATGAACTCCTTTAACTTTTTCTTGTCTGGGAAAGTCTTTATATGGCCATCCATTCTAAATGACAGCTTTGCAGGATAGAGTAATCTTGGTTATAGGTTCTTGCTTTTCATCACTCTGAATATTTCTTGCCACTCCCTTCTGGCCTGCAAAGTTTCTTTTGAGAAATCAACTGACAGCCTTATGGGAACTCCCTTGTAGGTAACTAACTGCTTTTCTCTTGCTGCTTTTAAGATTCTCTCTTTGTCTTGAACCTTTTGCATTTTGATGATGATGTGTCTTGGTGTGGGCCTCTTGGGGTTCATCTTGTTTGGGACTCTCTGTGCTTCCTGGACTTGTATGTCTGTTTCCTTCACCAAGTTAGGAAAGTTTTCTGCCATTATTGTTTCAAATAGGTTTTTGATTTCTTATTCTCTCTCTTCTCCTTCTGGCACCCCCAAGATGCGAATGTTGGCACGCTTGAAGTTGTCCCAGAGGCTCCTTACACTATTCTCATATTTTTGGATTTTTTTTTTCTTTTTGCTGTTCTGATTGGGTGTTTTTGCTTCCTTATATTCCAAATCAATGGTTTGCTTCTTGGATTTACGTACTCTACTATTGAATCTGTGTAAATTATTCTTTTTTCAGTTAATGCCTCCATTTTTGACTGTGTATCCATCATTTCTGACTGGTCCTTTTTTATGCTCTTGAGACCCTCACTAAGTTCATTGAGCATCCTTATAAGCAGTATTTTGAACTCAGCATCTGTTAGGTTGCTTATCTCCATTTTGCTTAGTTCTTTTCTTGGGGTTTTGTTCTGTTCTTTCATTTGGGACCTGTTTCTTTGTCTCCTCATTTTGGCTGCCTCCCTGTGTTTGTTTCTGTGTATTACTTAACAAGTGGTATGGGGCTAGCTGAGACCAGATGCTGCTTGTTTGAAAGAATTTAGGAAAACCTGAAGCAGGATCCAAGACAGGCCAATCCTATGGTTAAGCAAGTGGCAACAGCTTGGGTGGGCCTGAAAGTTGGGGGGGGGGGGTAGGTCCTCAGGGAATTACCAGGGCCGGGCTACCAGTGTCAACCAGGTTGCTGGAGTCCCAGGTATGGCGACTGTCTGCTTCCCCAGGGAAGGGCTCACCAAAGGAACAAAGGCCTCTGACAGCACGTTTGTCCTGGAGAGAGTCCCCTCTCAAGCCCTCGCTCCAATGCCAAACAGCTCAGTTCTTCCCTGTATGTCTCCGGTGCCCCTCGAGCTGCCTCCCCTCCAAGCTTAGAGGGAGAGAGTCCAAGAAGTCTGTGCGCGGGCCCTTTAAGGAGCTGCCTGGGGCTCCAGTCGAGTCATTCTCCCTGAGCCTCAGTTCCTGCTGGTTTTTCCAGCCAGAAGTTATGGGGACTTCTCTTCCTGGCACTGGAACCCTGAGCGGGGCACCTGGTGTGGGACGGGGACCCCTCAGTGCTCAGGGAGGACCTTCCCCACCGAGGTGTCCTCCTGATTTTTATCTGCCACACGTGGGTGTGGGACCAGCCCGTCCACCTCCGCCCCTTCTACTGGTCTTGTTGTGGCTGCTGCTTTAATTCTGTAGTTGTAGGACTTCCATTCAGCTTGATTTCGGCGGTTTTGAATGATGGTTGTTCTGTAGTTTAGTTGTAACTTTGATGTGGTTGTGGGAGGACGTGATACTGCGTTTACCTACGCCGCCATCCTGACCGGAAGTCCTGAAGTATTCTTTATTGCTCCCATTCTCGAGATGAAGGCAGGGTGGTTCAAGGGCATGAAATATCCAAGACCATCTCAGTATTATGTGGGATTCACATGCAGACAGTCTCATTCCAAACTGTCCATTTGATTTAGGGAACCACGGATGTAAGCAGCATTGGGCCACAGCCAGGGTATGCCAGAGAGAAGGCTCATGACAGTATCACATAGGAGAGGAAATAAAATATCTTAGGGATGCCCTGCTACCAGTGTAGGCCACCAAGGAACTCTAACAAGTAAGAACTTACTTGTGGAGGCAAAGCATCATTTAGCCACTAAAAAACTATGTTGCATCCATCCTTTGCATAACCTCCAGGGCATTTATTGAGTGAAAAAAGAAGTAATTATGGTAACATTTACACTCATAATTTTTGAAGTATGTTAACACCTTTTACTCATTCTAAGTAGCCCAGGAAATTGGTATAATAAAGATTGTTATCCACTGATAGAAAACTGAACATAAAAATAAACATTAAGTAACTCGATTAAGATCACAACTAATTAAGGCCAAATCAAATAAAAAATTAAGTTTTTGCCCTGGCTGGTTTGGCTCAGCAGTTGGAGTGTCAGCCTGAGGACCTAAGGGTCGAGGGTTCGATTCCCAGTCAAGGGCATGAACTTGGGCTGCAGGTTTGATCCCCAGCCCCAGTAGGGGTCATGTGTGAGGCAACCAATCTATGTGTCTCTTTCTCTTCCTCCCCCCCACCCTCCCTCCCCTCTATCTAAAGATCAATGGAAAAATATCCCTGGGCAAGGGTTAACAAAAAATAAAAATAAAGAAAATTAAGTTCTTTGTACTTCTTCTAGATAAGTGCTCTTTCCACTACAAACAATTTCCAGCATCACATGACCCTACACTCTCCCAGATATAAACATCACTAGCCAAATAAATAAAAATATCCTCAATCATCCAGATACCAATTCTGTTATAGTATTATCTAAAGCCACATCTCCCTTGGTAGTTTTAATGGTGGGATCTACACTAAAAGAAGAAGTGGGACTTTTAGCTGCTCTTAATCAAAGATGAAAAGCACTCCCTTAAATTAGGCAAATTACCAGAGTCAGCGAGACGACCTTATTCATCACTTACTAGTTGACACATGACAAATGTTTGCAATTTTCTAGACTTAGTCAACTCTGTACTCAAACAATATTTGATACTTCTGAACCTGAATTCCGGTGTGACAAAAGGTAAACAGGAGAGTCCAGGAATTCCCTGGATGTAGAATATTGCACCACACTTCTTTAAAAATTACTTATCTATGTGAGAATAAAGGACTTATTTAAGATAGGAATACTATACACTTTGCAGTAAGCAAACCCAGGTATTTTGCATATGGATGGAAAGCAATTCAATTCCTGGTTTAAACAACAACAAAAAGTATTCAGGTCTTACTCCATCATGGAAGGTGGAATAGTGCAGCAGTCTTGAATGGCCGTGAGGGGAGAGGTCAGGTGAGCTGTATAGGATGCTTCGACAACTTGCTTGTTCCGGTTGACCACATCCAAGTAACGGTTGAACTTCTCTCGGATTTTTTTGGCTAGCTGTAGGACGACAGTGAGCAAAATAAATCAAAAACCCAAGACAATAACTCACTGCACTTTTTCTAATAAGCTAATCCATGTTACAAACAACATGAATTAAAGTTCAGGTCAAACAACACACATCCAAGTCTTATTCCACTGTGTAATTTGAGATTAAAAATTGCAAAATGCCCAGAAGTCACAGAAGGATACTCAGATAACAATCAAATACCGTCTTCTGTCTTAAAATAGAAGATAATACATTACGAACTTTTTTCATGCGCTCAAATTCAAACAGAACAGTACCAATCCGTAAAATGCCTTGCTAGATAATGAGAAACAAAGTGTACTGATATGACTGTCAGTGTGACAGTGGGCGTTGGGAGTTATAAAGCAACAATAATGATTGGAAGGAAACCCCCCCACTACTCATTACTCTGGATTCACATAGATGTTTTCCAGGGGAAAAATACATAAAGGAAAAAAAAGTGACATTTAGTGTCTCATCCTGCACAACTTCAGGGGCAATATCACCGTCTTCCACGCGAAGGGCGAATCCCTGGGGTTGTACAATGCAGACATCACATAAAATAAAATGTATAATTAGAAATACACTCATTTGGTCTGTTATACCTTTAAAATGGACAGATGTCTTTCTTAACTGCTGTGAACAGAACACTTCATCATAATTTACTTTCATGTGGGAATAACAAAAGCAAATGGATAAGCACATTGCTTTTTCCTCCATTGTTCCCATCAAATATCACAGCTTAATTACAGATCTCCAAGGAAAACAGTGTTGTTGTTTTTTCCCCCTTAAACAGAATGTTACCCAAATGAAATGACTGATAGAATTATAGCTAATTGGTTTTGTAGAGCTATTCATTATCAGCACACTAGTGGAGAACTAATCATCTCCTTTGGGTCATGCATCTCACACAATCCAATAGCTTTCAGGCTATGAACATTGAGCCAACTCAAAATATCTTCATTTCTTATTTTTCAAGACAATTTTAAAATTTGATTTCATTCTAATAATATTTGGAAAATTCTATTTCAATTAAATAACTGAGGCTCTCAGCCTTGCTAAATATTGCACAAACTATAAAGTTTAGACAAATTTCTGGACTTAACGAGAGTATTCATGAGCATAATATTTAATTTGATAATGGGCTGTCCAAATCCATTTCAGCATTTTCAAAGGACAAATTTTGTGTCTCAAAAATTAACAAGTCCACCTGCAATTCTATTCCCTGAGCTAGAGTTCTTACTATTAAAGGGAAATGTACATTTTTCTTGCTGGGGTCTTTGCAATAAAATGTAGAGAAACAGTGTAATTTCCCATTTTAATAGAGACCACTGCTAATTTTACCCCGCTAGAGGACAACTGGCAAAGTTTGGGGACAATTTTGGTTGTTGAGATTTGGTAGGGTGCTACCACCATTGTGGGTGGAAGCCAGAATGCACCTAACATTCTACGACACACAGGACAGCTCCATGACCAAGTATAAAACCCAAAATGTCAATACTGCCCCATTTGAGAAAACCTAACATAGAGAAAAATCATAGACAGTTATCCCAATTTGCAATTCAATCAGTCCAAAAACGTTCTTCCAGGGTAGTTCTCCACCCTCCAAATGGGTACCTTATGGAAGAAAAAAATCTAGTAAGTTTCAATAGTTACAAATTCCTACTTTGTTGATTTTCCTTTCTCAAGGTAATGTGAAGGAGGTATCGCACATGCCTCCAGTTCTTGAAAATGTAACCCAAATACATATATAGGACTACTCACTCACTGCCAGATGTGCGGACATGTTTCTTTAAGCAGCAGTTTGCACCACTTAGCAACCCCTATTTCCTAGCCCCTCACATTCAGTGGGTGGCTGAGGAGACAGGGTAGAGTTCCAGCTTAAAACCTAATGTATATTCTCAAAGTGCCCTGCATTCTCCGCTCTTAACACATATTACATACACATCTGGTTAACCCACTAGGCGGTATGACCCGTAAGGGCAAGTACCATTATAAATTTTTGTTCATCTTTTTATCTTCAGCACCTAGCACACTGCCTGGTATTATAGGTACACAAAAAATATTTAATAAGTTAATAAAGGCCAAAAAGAAATTTGATCCCTAAGGCCATCAGCCTTATCTTTTGATCTAAGGATCAATAACCTCTTTAAAAACATGGAGTGCTTATTTTAAAAATATACAACAATATGTATTTCTGGGAACACCAAGACCAAGTTTTATCTTTTCTCTTTAGGTTCTGAAATAAACTAAATATCATGACTTTTCCCACCTACAATTATCAAGAGTACATGTAGTCTATCATTGCCCTATAACAAATGTTCAGTAACAGGATAAAGATAAGGCGTACCTGGGGAATGAAATTCCAAATATCTCCACAAATTCATTTCAAAAGGGAAAATGATATTTGCAATCATTTCTTTCTCTCACATACACAGAAACATACATAAACACTTGAGAGATACCCATATGTTTCTTCTACACATATGGAAAGTTCTAATTAAAAACAAAAAAAAGTTCAGAGCCAGCTAATCATGATATTCTAATCTGGCTCACAGCCTGTTTTTATAGCAGCCAAGAATGACTGTTCCATTTTCAAATGTCTTTTTGTAAAAAAGGCATTTTGTGATACTTAACTATTTGAAATTCAAATTTCAGTGTTTGTGAGTAAAATTCTATTAAAACACAGTCATTCACAAGCCCTAACATGTCCCTAGATAGGAGCCATAATCTCAACAATTTTATAAAAATTGGCTGAACACGCCTCCCCGTTGAGAAGTGGGTCTTAGGTCCCGTCCCTTCTGCCCCCACTGCTTGAATCTGGGTGGGCTTCTGGTGGCTTCTCCCAGCAGAGTGTGGAGAAAGTGACACTACGACTTCTGAGACTAGGTCACAAAGGGCCCCACGCTTCCGCCCGTGCCTCTTGGAATGCTCTCAGCTACCATGCTGTGAAGAGGTCCAAGATACACGGACACCACAGTTAAGTGCCTGGTTGGCAGCTCCCTCGCAGCAAGACCTTGAGTCATCCAGCCCAGGCTCCAGACGTGAGTCAAGAAGCCTCCAGATAATTCCAGCCCTCGGTCTTCCCTGAGGAAGCCCCAGACATCACGGAGCAGACACGAACCTGGCCCAAATTCCTCACCCAAAAAACCCATAGACATAAAGATACAGTTGTTTATGCTACTAAATTTGGGGCAGTTTGTTTTGCAGCAACAAGTACCTGGCACACCCAGGCTAGGCAGAATCCATCCTAAGATAAACACTGAAGCTACACTGGACAAAGCTGCTCAGACCATCAGCACCATCGAGATTAGAGCCTGTGTTACAAACTCGCTGTAAAGAGGTTTCAGGGTTCTTCAGAAAATTGTAACAGCTACTGTATAGTGGTACTTACTATGTAGCAGACACAAGGACCTTACAATGTAAGGATTATCATTTTATAACAATGAGATTATTTTGTGGCCCAAAATTGCAAAATAAGTGAAAGAACCCACTGTCTTATTCAAACTCAGAACTGTCTGGTCTATGAAGCCTGTGTGTTCATCTGCTTAGCTATTGTGCCCCAGAGAAATCAAACTTAAAAGAAGCTGCAGTCCTGGCTGGTTTGGCTCAGTGGTTAGAGCATTAGCCCGTGGACCAAAGAGTCCTGGGTTCAATTCTGGTCAAGGGCACATACCTCAGTTGCGATTCAGTCCTGACCCTGGTTGGGGTCGTGTGAGAGGCAGCCAATTGATGTGTCTCTCTCATATCAACATTTCTCTCTCTCCAACCCACTGTCTCTGAAGGTAAATGGAAAAATAGCCTCAGGTAAGGATTAAAAAAAAAAAGGCTACAAAGGTGGCTTGAAATAAAATATATGGCAGATCACAGACTGTGTGGAATGGAACTTCTGTAGACATAATCAGCCAAGGCACAGAGCTCCAAGAATGTCTGCCTTTGGCCTCCTGGTTAGGGTGGGCCACAAGCTTCATTCCTCATCAGGGGAAGCTATACAGTGCGTGCAGAACCCAGACGCACGTGACAGTGAACAAAAGGTCTCACGCGCAAGCTCTCCCCACTTGGATTCGTGCCTGTCACAGACTCCTCAGCTGTCATGTTGTGACACCCCATCTTGCCGTATTTACGAAAACATAGTAATTGCTAACATTTGCTGAGTGCTAACTCTGTGTGGGGTGCTATTCTAATCACTGTCCATGCATGTTCCAATGAATCCTTCAGAGAACCCTAGGAGGGACACATCTCCACTTTCCAGTAGCAGACACTTAAAGTTAAGTAACTTGCTCAAGGTCACAATGCTGGGAAGTAGTGGAGCTGGGACCCAAACCCAGAAGTGTTCCAACTTCAGAGCCTGATCTTTCGACCTTGATGCAACACTTTGTAATCCACAGGCTGACAGCCCTTCACCCATGTCTGTCCAAACCCACTTAGCAAACGCTCTGAAATTCCTGGAGCAATACCATAAACCACATGCAGTCTTATTACTTTATAAGGATTCCATTTTTAAAATTAACATTTCATTTAGAATTCTTTGTAATTCCTATGAAAATCAAGATGCTAAGGACGTTTAGAACTGCTAAATTCTACCACCAATATGAAAAAATGTCTTCTCCAAAAACAATGCCTACCTGCTATTACCTGATTTACTGGGGTACAAGTTACATCAAATTAACGTAAACTGTGGTAATTACTCCAGGGTGTGTGTTCGTTTGTTTGTAAACTAGACAGAGTGGATGTATTGCTCTGTTCCTTCAGTAAGTGAATTTCAGAATTAATACTGTCCTCCGAATTAATTTATCTACCATCAGTGTCAAGATGAAATTGTAACTCCCATTCACGAGTGAAGAAACCGAGGCATATGGAGCTTAGGGGTCTCCTGCCTCCAGGGGGAGGGCTGGCCTCCCTGACCCTACTGCCTGAGATGACCTCCCTGTGCCCTTCAGACAAGGCACGTGATAGTGACTCACTATGGAAACCTCAACTTACGCTCCACGGC